GGAGAGAGATCCGCGCGAGTGGGGAGAGGGAGGAGAACTCGCGGTAAGCAGAAGCTAAGAAAATTAGGAAAAGATTATTATTAAGGTTATGATACTCTGTAGTTCTGGAACCCATTAATATCCCCTTGATGAAGCACTAATAAGACAAATATTATTAGAGAAACATTCGTTAGCCTACAAGCTAGTAAACTGGCTTTTTTAGGTTTTCCCTGGCAAGTTAAAATATAGCTTAATGGGACTCTGATACGTTGTCTCATTGAAAGAATGTCATTATTTTGTTAACCACCATTCATGAACAATTACTGTCAGCTGGCAGCTTGTTTTGTTTAGTTTATTTACTTATGTGTTTATAAGGGCAACAGTGGTCTTTTGGGACCTGAACAAAATGTTTATAGTCAGCTTTTTGTGGTAGTTTTGATTGACAATATATAGAATGAATAATATAGAAATAGAAGAAAAAATGTAGGCACACATGTAGTTTTGACCATTAACTGTGTGGTATTGTTATGTCAATGCCTATTTGTATGGACCTCTATCAGGGACCAAAGAGGTCACCTGCATCCTTTTTGACTCTCCCAAAGCCCCCCAACTACACTCACACATGCAAACAGACACACAGACACACAGACACACACACACACACACACACACACACACACACACACACACACACACACACACACACACACACACACACACACACACACACAGAGGAATGGACGCTGGACATAGTGCCCCTCTCCACAACAAGCATTCATTTTAGTTATTTCAGTCTAGTATATAAGTTACTTTGTGTGTACAGTATATATATACAGTATATATATCTTGCTAGTTGTGTACTTTTGTAATTTATGTGGGATTTCTGTCAAATGTTGCTTCAACTCTCTTTGTAAATTTAAATCTGTCTCTTTCAAATCTATTCTCAGGAAAAAAAATAAAGACAGTGGATAGTATTTTTGGTTAAACCTGTGTTCCTTCAGTTCTGTGTGCTCTGTGAGGTTCTGAGAAACCAGCCGCCTAAGACTTGCACTATAGCCCCTTGCGTGCGTCAATCAATCACATTTTATTTATATAGCCCAATATCACAAATTACAATTTGTCTCAGAGGGCTTCACAGTGTGTACAGGTACGACATCCTCTGTCCTTAGACCCTTGCAGCGCTCAAGGAAAAACTCCCCAAAACAGACCCCACAATTAACAGTGGGAAGTAGGAAGAAACCTCTGTTACCCCTTTCACACCAACGGTGTTTCAGGGCCGGTTCGGTGCTGGTGCTTGAAAAGCACCGGGTTTTCCTGTTCACACCGCAGCGGAGCAGCGTCATAGCTCCGGAATCCGGTTCGTTTCGAGCACCAAAAAGTTGTCCGTCTAGAAGCAAGAACCGCATACGTCACGCTTACGTCGGAGGGGGGCGAGATTAACCTGAGCTAACACTTAAGGCGAGTACGGCAAATAAAAGTTGTAACAAGCAGTAGTGCTGAGCAAAGTGACTAGAACGCAACCACACACTTGTTAAAAAAAACACACTTTATAAAGTCAGGCAACACTAACCAGGCTTCGTGTGATTCTGTTTATTTGTACCTTACTTTGACCATCCGTTCGCTGTTATTGATCATTGTGGAGAGCAGGCAGACGTTTTGTTTGTTATTATAGCAGCTATCGGATGGAATCAATACATGGGCTGCACAGGTTGTCATGTCCGACTATCACAAGTAGAATCATAATGAAAAATACGTCGGTAAAAAGTGCCTGTAGAAAACTGCTTAGCAAGTAGTCAGTTTAGCTTCGGTTGCTATGCTAACATCACCCATGTTATACCAGAGAAACTTTCATAACAGCGTTGTGATGCCAAACAGCGTCAATTCAGACTGACACCAAACAGCGTCAATTCAGACTGACACACATTCACTTAAGGGGAACTGGGGATATGTATCAGCTGCATGTGTGACAGTCAGACAGTGAATACTTTAGAGCCGTGTGAGCTAACCCGGAGCTAACGGGAGAATACACTCGTGGAAGAGCAGCCGGCCAGCACTGCAGCGGTCGGTAAATGCCGCTGAAACACATTAATAAACAATTAACCACGGCACTCTGGAGAAAAGTATAAGGTTGGAGAAGTCGTTATTTAATTTAATCTGGCTTCGTATGATTAAAAGCAACGCAGTCCCCGGCCCGTTGTTATTGTGAGGTGAGCTCCGGCGTTGGGGAGAAACTCAGCGACGTAAACTGTGACGTCATGACGCAGCAGCGGCAGCACCAGTCGGGCTCTGAGCGGTGTGAAAAGAGCCGGCGCTAAACCGAAGAACCGGTTCTGAACCAGAAAAGCTCTAGCACGGAGCTTGAACCGGAGTTGCGTTGGTGTGAAAGGGGCATGTGAGAGCAACAGAAGAGGGATCCCTCTCCCAGGACGGACAGACGTGCAATAGGTGTCGTGTGTACAGATGAAAAAGGCAATACAATTACAGCGATTAAAAAAAGGATGGAAAAATTAAATGAAAGCGTCAATGTATATAAAAAGATGCCGTCGACTCATCCTGTAGACTCATCTGGTCCTATCTCTATTGTGTTGTCATAGAAAGGGGAGGCAGGGCACTATAGGGTCCCCCCCCCCCTAAATTCACTAGAAGTCATCATTTAAGGGGTTATTTTTAAAACTTTTCTTCTGTGGGGGGCATACCCCCCCAGACCCCCCTATTAGTGCTCGGTCACTGTTCGCTTTGTGAGAGGGTTTGAAGGTCTAATTTCTAATGATTGATAGTTACACATACTTGTGGTATGTATTAGTTTTGTTTGCCCCTGGTACGTAAAAAGGATAATAATAGCGTTTTTTAAAATTATACTGAGTTATTCTTCTTGTCAGGAACCGCTACTATTCGTTTGTTTTATGGATTTGGGCCGGTCTGGGTCTAAATGCCAGGGCCGATTTGCTGTCCCAGTCCAGCCCTGGATGAAACCCCTCTTTAATGGTCACACATGCAGAGCACACAGCACACACAGTGAAATTTGGCCTCTGCTTTTAACCCATCCTAGTACTAGGAGCAGTGGGCAGCTATTGTACAGCGCCCGGGGAGCAATGGGAGTGAGGGGGGAAGGGGGATGTCCGGTGCCTTGCTCAAGGGCACCACGGCAGGGCAGGAGGTGAACTGGGACCTCTCCAAGTAGCAGTCCACACTCCACATTTTAGGTCTGGTCGGGGACTTGAACCGGCGACCCTACAGCTCCCAGTCCAAGCCCCTACTGACTGAGCCACTGCCGGACACATCATTCATCCAGATCTGTAAAGTAACTAAAGGGATTAAATACATGTAGTGGAGTAGAAGTACAAAGTAGCACAAAATGGCACTTAAGTACAGACCTATTTTCAAACAGGAAGTGTTTCACCAGCTGCTCTTAAACAGGGACCATAACACAGCGTTGTGAAATATAGCTATAAATCTCCAGATGTGTAAACTAAGAGAAGTCCTTTATGTATTGAGAACATATTCCTACTTATGCTCAATACACTATTTGAAAAGCCTCTTGGATCAGCTGTAAAATGCATCGTCACAAAGTTAAATAACAAGCCTCAATAGTTCTTCCTCCACTTCCTCTTTGCAAACTGCCACTGAGAGGTGGGACCACCCTGTAAGAGAAGAGTTTCTATTTCCCGGAAATGAAAGCTGATGTTTTTCTGAGCGACAGCAGAGCAGCAGCCGAGACAAGTCTCTGTTTCTCTGAAGAAACACTCAACTGAATCCAGAAGCTTTTTTATCAACAACACAGCAGGACTCTGCAAACACTGGTGAGTACACTACATACACATCACTAACTAAATATTTAGTCAAAGTTGGATTAAAATCTGAATCTGACTGTATTACATCAATTTACCATATAAAGAATAGCCTACTATATCAATGTGTCAGTTAAGATAAAAACCTCAACATTTACATTAGCAACAGCCAACAATATAATTACAATGTAAACTCTGGTTAAGTTAGGTTAGAGAGCATACAGTCAAAGCTAGCATTAGCTTATACTTATTTTCATATTTCCTGTATTTGAAAACATCTTTATAATTGACTCTATTAAATAAAGTAGAATCTAAATATTAGATTTGTTCTGGACTGTCCAAAGCAAGGGATCTGGTGTTATGTTACAAGTGTTGCTTATAAAAGGCATGACAATTAGATATTTCATCTTATATCATTTGTACACACTGTGGTAAGTAGCCTTGAGCTTTGAATCTGTTTCTGTAGTAACTGCTGTCTGCCTTTTGAAGCTGATAACGTTTACTGTTTTTTAGATTAGATTAGATTAGATTACTTTATTGTCATTACAAAATGCAAGCACAGTGTAACGAAATTAAGGAGGGTCTAACCAGAGTGCAAAACAGTCAGTTATATCTCTCACAGGCTCCGCCCTTTACTGGACTCTATGGCTACTACCTTATCCTGCGTGCATTCTCCCACTGAGACTTCTATAGACGTAGCCGGCCTAGGGCGGGCCTACCTGAATGCGCGCGCATCACACCGTATAAAAGGAGGCCTCGCCTCCTGACTATCATCCTTTTTCTCTTCAGCAAGCGGAAGTGATTCCACGAGCTTCGAGACGATTGAGAAAGAGAGAGTAAAGTGTAGGACCTGCCCGAAATGCCCGAATCTAATTACCCTTCTGCTTCACGTCCTTGGGGCCTGACCACGCGGTGGGTAATATGGGCCCGACACCGACATGCCCAGACTGCCAGATGATCCCGCGGCTCACACGAGAGCATCGTGGGCAGCACTTCCTGGCGAGGGCTACCCCGCAGGAGGAGTCGGAGGATCTGGAGCTCGACGTCGTGGACGTAGGCGATTCGGGGAGCGAGGTGACGTCGTCCCGGTTCTTCCGATGGGGGACGAGGAGGACGCCTCGCTGACCGGAGGTCCAACTCTCAGGTCTGCGCGGATCGATTCCCGGCGGTGATGACTCTGGCGGCGGAGCGTGTAGGCTTACCGCTCCCCCCACCGCTGCCACCGAGGCCTGTAAACCGCCTGAGATTTACAGCCCGGTGCGTCCCGCGCAGCCGACCTTCGTTTCGCCCCAGCTGCCAGAGGTATGGCGGTGTGTGTAGGCGACATGGCAGCAGCCATTAAGAACGAAGGCCCCGATAGCCGCCATGGCTAAGGTGGTAGATCGCTCGGACACGACATGTCCAGGTGTGCCCCCCCTCGATGAGAGCCTGGCAGCCCATCTGCTTCCGCGGCTGGTTGGGCGGAGGGTAAACGTCCTCTGCCCCCGTCCTTTGTTTCCACAATACACTTGCACATGTTGATGACTGTACCAATTCCCCACTCGCCGCCCCAGCTGTAGCTCCTGTTAGGGAGGAGGCTAGTGGGAGTGCGCAGATGAGAGTGATAAACTGCAGGCAGCGCTATTATGGTGCGATGCAGGTACAGGGACATTATGGTCGACGTTTTTCTGTTAGAAAACACTCTATGCCTGAAGCTTAGACTCCAAATAATGCTGTTTACCATAGTGGTAGGGGCTGCATTATAGCAACGCCCGCACTTGTAAAGGGGCGCGTGGCGGTGCGTTCAGGGGCCTTAGTAAGACACACTACGCCTGTAAAAGCTCCGGTTAATGCTGTTTTCCATAGTGATGGAAATAGCATTATGATGGAGCGTGCGCTCACACGTGAGCGTGCGGCGGTGCGTTCAGGGTCCTCAATAGATAATCGGCCCTTTCTGTTTCGACCCCCCACGGGCAAATCTTCCCTTTACGGGGAGTTTTGCGGCGGAGCGGGTCATCAGAGAGTATCACAGCTTTATAGCTGCGGCCCCACGGCTGAGGGCTTGCCCATTAACACAATGTTATGAGGAATGGAAACTCAGCTGTGTACTGTCAGAGTGGATGGACAGGACGCTGAAACGGGGCTATTCACTCCAGTTTTGCAGCGTCCCACCTCCTTTTATGGGCATGCGAGAGGTAAATCTGTCTTCCCAGGAGGAGGTGGGTTTCCTCTCAGCAGAGATTCAGGCTCTGGTGCAGAAACAGGCTGTGTCTGTTGTGCATCCTCAGCACAGAGAAAAGGGTCTTTATTCCATGTATTTCCTGGTTCTCAAGAAAACAGGGGAATTCAGACCTATTCTAGATCTCCGCGGCCTGAATCGTCATATTCCCTGCAGGAAATTCCGCATGTTAACTGTGAAACAGTTACTAGGGCTTGTGCAGCTAGGCGATTGGTTCACCACCATCGACCTGAAAGACGCGTACTTTCATGTGGAAATTGTTCCAGAGCACAGAAAGTATCTGCGTTTTGCCTTCCAGGGAACAGCCTACGAGTACAACAGGCTGCCGTTCGGTAATTTCCTATCCCCACGCACATTCAGCAAATGTGTGGCCACAGCGCCTCAACCGCTGCGCGCACACGGCATGAGAGTTTTCTTTTACATAGACGACCTCATAGTCATGGCTGGGTCCCGGGAACAGGCAATGTTTTGCACAGCACAGTTGATCACACACCTAACCAAATTAGGTTTTGCGATCAATTGGGAAAAGAGCACCCCCATACCTCACCAACAGGCGTTGTATTCGGGAGTGGTGCTCGATGCAGACGCGCTGCGTGCCATCCTGTCAGAGAGCAGACGTGCGCCCCTTCTCAGGGCGGTGCACAGGCTGCGACAGGGGGCAACAGTGACAGCTTTAACTGTCATGCAGACTCTGGGTCTCATGGCGGCTGCTCACATGGTGAGCAGCATGAGCTGAACACAAAGGTTGTAATGTTGTCCCAAAGTTTAATAAACAGTAAAACAACATGTCAGAGAAATAAATAAAGCAAACAGCAGCTACACGTCAGGGTAGCATTTTATAAATCCCACCGTACTGTAGGCTATACAGGTCTAAATGTTTTCACTTTGGTCTATTTATGTAATATAAAGTATAACTTATCTATAACAGAGCCAAGATGTCTGTATGACTTTAGTAAACTTCTGAATTGAATTAAAAATAAGTGTAAACAACAGTGCAGTACGTCCAGCTAGCTAGTTAGCGTCACATATTTATCCGTATTATTTAACGAAAATGTACGTTTTAATGCCCCTTGGGTTTTTTTGGGTGTTGGAGCGCTAGCCAATAGGAGCGCAATGTTACCGAGTGATGCAACTATGTTCTGGAGAAACACCGGGTTACGTATTGTAACCCTTGTTATATTAACACAGGCGGAGCCCTCTACAGGACTCTATGGGTACTACCTTATCATGCAAGCATTCACCTACTGAGATTTCTATAGACGTAGCCGGCCCCGGGGCGGGCCTACCTGAATGCGTGTGCATCTCACTTCCGTATAAAAGGAGGCCTCGCCTCCTGACCACCATCCTACACCACTCTTCAGCGAGCGGTATAGGACAGACAGTGCCCCCAAGGTAGAGGGCTCCGCCTGTGTTAATATAACAAGGGTTACAATACGTAACCCGGCGTTATATCTCTCACAGGCTCCGCCCTCTACTGGGCTCTATGGGTACAGTGGGCAGAGCCCCGATGTATGCACGCACTGTCGTCCAGCACACCGTTCCACCTCACTGTCCCTGACCGGCTTTAGCAGCCACTGCGCCTCACTCACCTCTCCCTCGGTTGTAACCGTGGAGAAGTCCGGGCTGCGGCCGATAGAGCACACCCTGACGCGCTTGCCTCGCAAAAAAGTGTGCTCAAAAATAGTGCTGAGGACTCCCGTGCGTCTGCCCATAGGCAGACAGGGAAAGTCCGCAGCCCTGTATGGGTTCACTATGCACACTCCCTCCTGAGTCCCTAAAGAGCACGGGGAGAACGCAAGTGCCCCCTATGTCCCCCCACTCCGCCACTGACCCTGTGCAGAGTGTGTAGGGACTATAGTATGGAGGGCTCTCCCCCTCCTGCCCCCAGGCAGGCGAGGGGAGCCCTTCAGCCCTGTAAGGGCCCAGAGCGCATTACATCACCCCGCGACCCTCCAGGGGTCCGGAGAAATGTAAGCGCATTTACGCCCGGGGAGGGGGTCAGATGCCCACTGACCCACAGCCCCCCCCCTCCTCACCAGTCCTGTGTTGCCCCAGCAAGCACAGACGTTGAGAAAGAGCCAGACATATCCAAGAGATAAAAATGTATGAAGGGGCCTGGCGTTGACCAAGACGCCGCCGTGCATATATCCTCCACACTCACACCGCTGAATAAGGCTGTTGATGCAGCCACAGCTCGTGTGGAGTGCGCACGGACCCCCATGGGACAGGCTCTCCCTGCCTGTTTGTAGACGTGTGCAATGGCTTCGCAAAGCCAGCCTGCCAGGCGTTTCTTGGACAGAGCTTTTCCAGTCACCCCGCCCCTGAAGCACACAAACAGCTGTTCAGTGCGTCTCAGGGTAGCTGTGCGCTCTACATAATATGCTAATGCACGCACCGGGCAGAGGAGGTGTAATTTAGCTTCCCTAGCCTCACCATGGGGACTAAAACCCCCCAACTGAATAGCCCTCGACCGGAACGCGCTCCTTGGGCTCTTGGGCAGAAAGGGGGTTCGGTCTGAGTGTCGCCCCACTCTGGTCACCCCGAATCAGTAAACAGCTCGGGTCCACCGACAGAGCGGTTAACTCGGACACTCTTTTGGCTGACGTTAAGGCAAGTAGCAACGCTGTCTTCCACGACAGTGCTTTCAGGGAGGAGAGCTCAAGAGGCTCAAAAGGCTCCGTGACCAGAGCCTCGAGCACCAGCGGCAGGTCCCACTGTGGGGCGGAGGCGTGCACTACCGGGCGCAGCCTCCTGACCCCCTGTAAAAACCGCAACATCAGTGGATGAGAGAAGGCTGACCTGCCGTTGAATCCCTCATGACAGGACGAGATGGCTGCTGCATACACTTTCACTGTGGAATGAGCAAGCCCTCTGTCCACCAGTAACTGTAAGAAGGATAACATAGAGCCCAACTCACAAGATAGGGGCTCTATTCCCCGCTCCTCACACCAATGCTGGAATCTCAGCCACCTTGGCCTGTAACAGGCTGTGGTGGATTCTGCTCTAGCTGCCTGGATAGACTGAATAACGCTGTCAGACAATCCACCCTGTCTCAGCCTGTCCCTCTCAGGAGCCAAGCCTGAAGAGGACGGCCCAGAGTGGGTAACGCCCCGATTGCACCTGCCTCTTGAGACATCGCCCCCCAGAACTGGGGGATCGCCCAGGGCTGGCCCACCTTCATCTGTGTAATTTCTGAGTACCACGGAGCCCCGACGCGATCCTGTGCCACCAGAATGACTGCCAAACGTTCTTGCCTCACTCTCCCCAGGAGAGGGAGAATGAGACGCAACGGTGGAAAGGCGTATAGCAGCTTCCTTGGCCATGGCTCGTGTGCAAACGCGTCCACCCCCAAAAGGCGGGTCGTCGCTCAGGCCCATGGAGAACCACAGGGCACAGTGGCTGTTGCGCCGGCTGGCGAACAGGTCCACTTCCGCTCTCCCGAACTGGGCCCAGATCTGCTTCACCACCTCCGGGTGAAGCGTCCATTCGCCTGGCAGGGGGCCACCCCTCGACATGAGGTCGGCCCCCCTGTTCTCCAGTCCCGGAATGTGCGTGGGGATAGGGAGTAGCCGAACGGGAGTCTGTTGTACTCGTAGGCTGTTCCCTGGAAGGCAAAACGCAGATACTTCCTGTGCTCTGGCACAATCTCCACATGAAAGTATGCGTCTTTCAGGTCGATGGTGGTGAACCAATCGCCCGGCTGCACTAGCCCCATTAACTGTTTGATAGTTAACATGCGAAATTTCCTGCGGCAAATGTGAAGATTCAGGCCGCGGAGATCTAGAATAGGTCTGAATTCCCCTGTCTTCTTGGGAACCAGGAAGTACATGGAATAAAAAAAAACAAAGCCTGAATCTCTGTTGAGAGGAAACCCATCTCCTCCTGGGATGACAGAATTACCTCTCGCATGCCTCTGAATGGAGGTGGGACGCTGCAAAACTGGAGTGAATAACCCCGTTTCAGCGTCCTGTCCATCCACTCTGACAGTACACAGCTGAGTTTCCATTCCCCATAATATTGAGTTAATGGACAAGCCCTTAGCTGTGGGGCCACAGCTATAAAGCTGTGATACTCTCTGGTGACCCATTCCGCCGCAAAATCCCCCGTGAAAGGAAGATTTGCCCATGGAGGGTCGACACAGAAAGGGCCGAAAGTCCCAGCCACACATGACGAGACGCCACTGTGGCTAAGGACATCACCCGCCCGGCTGCGGTGGCCACTCCATGGATCAGATTATTCATCTGACCTATGCAGCGGTCCGGATAATCATCCCTGTCCTGAGACGGGAGAGCGGGGGCGTCTGCTCGAGGAGTAATCAAGGAGACGCCCAACACACCCAGATTATTGGCCGCAGCCGCCATCTGTGAACCGAGCCTGAACATTTTATCCAAATATTCCAAGGCTTCCCAGTCCCGCGGCAGCGGGGGCAGAGGTTTCTTCCCCTCCGCCCAACCAGCTGATCGCAGCAACAGATGGGCCGCCAGACACACCATGTCTGATCGGCCCTGCACCCTGACAATGCTATGGCGGCCTTCGTCTTCAATGGACGCCGCCATGTCGCCTCCACACACTGCCAGATGTCTGGCAACGGGGGCGAGACGAAAGCCGGCTGCGCCGCAAGCACCGGGCCGTAAAACCCCTGCCTAAGGTGGCTTATAGGCCTCGGTGGCAGCGGTGGGGGGAGCGGTAAGCCTACACGCTCCGCTGCCTGGGTCATCACCGCTGGGAAGTCCAGTCGCGCAGACCTGAGTGCTGGGCCCTCCTGGCTGTCAGAACCGGGGGTGTCGGACAAGGAGATGTCGTCATCCTCCTCCGCGAAGTCGACCACTCGGTCCCTCGGAAGGACGAATTCGAACGGCACGTCCTCCAGGTCGTCCATGTCCACCACCTCGAGGTCCACATCCTCTTCCTCTCCGCGCACCTGCGGGCCGAACTTCCTTAAGAAGTGCTCCGCACGATGCCGGCGGTTCAGCATCGGGATCGAACAGCAGGAAACGCAGGCCGGTGTCTGGCCCGCTCCCTGCTCGGCATGACCCTGCCCCAGGCACTGGAAGCATTGACGATGCGGGTCTGCTCCCGCAATCAGTCCAGGGCACGACGGGCAATTACGATGCTCCAGGAGTGGCTCCATTTTCAACAAAATATTCTCTTTCTTCTTCCTTTCTCCCAATAGAACGTCTCGGACTCAGTGCTAGGCTATCACCTCCGCTCGCTGAAGAGTAAAGGATGGTGGTCAGGAGGCGAGGCCTCCTTTTTATACGGAAGTGAGATGCGCACGTATTCAGGTAGGCCCGCCCCGGGGCCGGCTACGTCTATAGAAATCTCAGTAGGTGAATGCTTGCATGATAAGGTAGTACCCATAGAGCCCAGTAGAGGGCGGAGCCTGTGAGAGATATAACTTCCTCTGGAGGCTACACAGGGATTTTAGGCTTTGCAGACCATTTACATGCACAAAAAACCTGTATAACAAACTACAGGAAAGGGAAAACCACAAAAGCCTAATAGGGCCCCTTTGAACAGAAAATATGTATTTATTTTACAACACATTACTCCCTGTACTGTCACACACAAACACTGGTATCCAGCATCCCTATAAAGGACAGAGACAGATAAAATAGACCAACTGTGGACATCTTGCCAAAATGTTGACTGACTTTATTTTAAAGGACCACCAGCCTTAAGTTGGTTCCACAGTGACAATTGGGGTTAAGTATGTTACTTGTTATGCTAGAAGGTTATAAAGTGAACCTAGGTTCACCGTTGTATTTCTCACATTTTGTATCCACAGATCCTCAGTCAAGAACCTTGAGTTGCCAAGATGAAGAGGGAAATTGTGGTTTGGATTTTCCTACTGTTGACTAGTGCCATTGGAGTGTTTCATTCATATTCATGGATTTCATCTGTGTACCATGAGTCCTGTCGCCCTCGAGAGAACCAAAGTCTTTGTGCATGTAACACATGTATAACAGAGTATGAGCCATGGTTGAGTGAGTTGATGAAAGCCTCACCGGAGCCCTTTTTGACACCAAAAAACAATATCTCAGAGGAGGACTTTAAATGGTGGAGGGTAAATATCAACTTTTAAAATCTTTAAAGAAAGTCTGTAATTGTTATTATTGAAGCTATTTTATCTGTTTGAAAAAAAATCGACTCACCCTTATAGGAACCCTTAAGAAACTGTTTAACGCTTTCTTGCCAAATAGGATGTGACATTGGTCAAAACAATGCTAAATTACATTACAATCATATATCCTATATTCAGAAAACCGTTGCTGTCTCTATTTTTCCTATAATTTATTTAGACTGATATTTCCATAATACCAACCAGCCTGATGCTTGCATATTACTGACGTTACGAAGAAACACCAGATTCATGCCTTGTGGCCAGTGGCGTTTTTATATGTACAAAAGTGGTGGGGCACAAAAAACTTAGATGTCTATATATAAGCTTCTGCAGTGACGTGCAGTGAGGTTCATGGCTGGTGAGGCACTGGCACTGACTCTTCAGGTTTACAAATATTATATTTTGACCTAAACCAAAATATAATATTATTTTCAAAAGCTTTTTTTGTCTGATGCTTCGATTAATTTTAAACAGACAGTTCAACAAAAGGATACCCAAAAAATGTCATTTTATCATTTAAATATTGAATTGTTCTCTCTTAGTAAGATCCCATTTTCAATAAAATTGCGGTCTTACCTTGACTTGAAGATGAAGTCCATTTGCCTATCCTTCTGGACAACAATGTCTTTTACTTTTTTGTAAAAGTCCTGCTTATCTTCTTGTAGTTTCAAAAGTCTATCATAAATCTAATCGATAGATTTATGATTAAAAAATTATAAAAGTAGGGTAGACATGTGGATATTATCCGGCTGAACAAAACGTGCATTTATCTAACAGGTACGTTTCCCACAGATCTTATTTCTAGCTATTTTCTAAAATCCTATGGAGAAATCTCATTGCTTTTTTGTCGAGGGAAGCCATGCGCAGCTTACTTCCGGGTTTTAGGACGCGTCACTGCAGCTCTCTCGTCTCCTCTTCACACACCACACTTTTCGCGGCACACGTACTTACAGCCAATCAGCTCTGAATTATGTGAGATGACGTATGGTGGGGATGGCAGCTCAGTGCCCCTATGGTCATTATTTTTTTGCCACACACATTCAATCGGAAAATACTCTGAGCATGCGCAGTGTAGTTTTTACAGTCACCGTTCACTAACAGTGAGAGGGAGGGGGCATGGTCAGGTTTTGTCCCACATGGCTCTAAACAGCTCAATAGCATAGACTGTATATATAAAGCTCAATAGGCACACACTGTAGACACTAATTAGAAGAACACAGACTAAAACAGCAATGTACAGACGAATCAGATGATTAAACATGATATATATATTTTTTTTTTGCATTTTTTGTAATCATTATTTGTAATACTTTCTGCTGACACTAGGTGGGGCTGTGCCCCACCTGCCCCTAATGACCAGTCACCACTGCTTGTGGCTAAGTTATACCTACCTTAGTTTAAATTAGTTAACATTAGGGTAGTTGGCTGCTCTATCCTTTCATCACTTTTGGCTATTAAAAAAGCAACTGCCAGTTATACAACCTGTTGCTGTTTGGCTAAAGCTAACACCTATTATCAAAATACATAAGCACATTCAATAGCATGGATCACAGAGGATTGTAAAGTACTTTGGCAAGCTAGTCAATAACATATCCACTACTTGTATTGGTTTAAGATATCATTCATAATAATAAACTTTAATAATAATAAACTTTATTTGTAGAGCACCTTTCATGCACAAAGCAGCGCAAAGTGCTTTACAGAACAACATTAAAATAATATTAAAATTAATACAGAACAAGATCAAACATCTACAGTCATAATATGTTAAAATAAAACAATTTTAAAAAATAAAATAGAAGCAAAACAGAAAATAAATTAAATAAATTAAATAAATAAATACTTTTACCCGTACTTTTCCCGTTTAGTTCCGTTAGTGCCTGGAATTTTGCGTTCACACCAAAAAGAGAACTTAGTTCAGAGAACTTTTACCCCCATTTGTCGTGCCTGCTAGAGAGGTGGTACTATCCTGGGGAGAAAAAAGTACCAATTTCTGATTGGCTGGGCGAATTGCAAACCACGCCCCGTAAAACTCTGAAAGGTTTTGTGAAGCCGCCATTGTATTTGATGGCATTAGCATTATTAGCATTAGCATTAGCCCCGCGCACCAACGGAGAGAGAATAACTTATGGCAACACAAAAAGAAACATGGGAGCGGTGGAGATGAGGAGGTGTCGGCGTTCTGGCGATTTACTCGGAAGGCTTCAGTAGAAGCTGCTGGGAGTCCCAGCAGCTTCTACTGAAGCCAGTCCCCAACTCCGGGGACTTCCGGCCGGGGACTTCGGGTGGCAGTATACACCGTGAAGATGTTTGCGGCCTGCCAGTAAACCCAAAGCAGAAGAAGAAGAAGTGACGTCAGCGGCTTCATTTGCGTAATCTTCCCTCAGGGACTTATTCCGGTGTGAACGCGATCTGTACTTAGTTCCATGGGGGCACTAAGTGCTGAGCACTAAGTACGGCAAAGTACTTGGTGTGAAAGGGGCTAATGATACTAGTGAGAATTAAAAGTTAACCAAAATTAAAATCCATGTTTAAAAAATAGGTTTTTAATTTGCTTTTAAACATTTCATGGGAGTTTGCTGTTCTAAGATCCACGGGGAGGCTGTTCCATAGTTTAGGGCCGACATAATAGTGTTAGAAAGCTAGCCAGCTAGCTTTAACTTAGATATGCTGCGTGGATCTAGTGTTGGAGACTTCCTAATGTTAGCTGATAAAGTTATTTCAAAACGGGTAGCTAGCAAAATTACCAGCTGGATCAAAATGTAAAACTTAAAGGGGACCTATCATGCAAAATGCACTTTTGTACGTCTTTTATACATGAATATGTGTCCCCGGTGTTCCAGGGAACTCACCAAGTGTCAGAAAACACAACCCTCTCTATTTTCCTCCATACCAAATCTCTAAAAAAGGGGCTGCAACGGATCTGATAAAAACTGACCCAGATTTGAACACTTTCCTGACGTCAGGACAGTGGCGCTACGGCTATTGGGCCAACTCCACCAATCAGGAGGAGACAGCCACGGCCATTGCCGTTTGAAAGCGCTGGAGACGCTGTAGTACATATGCCAGGCCAGTAGATGGTGCTGTTCTGTCCTTATCTGCCCTTACACAAACAGAGCTAAAAAATGTCAAATTGAGCAAAATGAGGCATGGCTAAAATGCATGATCTGTTTGGTATTTTGAAAAAAAAATAATAATAAATATGCCTTATATAGGTATGGTCCTACCACACTATATTATTAAAATATAGCATGATAGGTCCACTTTAAAGAAAACCTGTTTTTGTTTTTCAGGGAATACAGTTTGACAGACGTGACTTCAATGTGTACAAAAAAAACAGCGGAGAAAGTGTTTCAGATGTTCCCTCGCAGTATTGATATGCCAAAACCCAGCCCCAATTGCTGCAGGACTTGTGCGGTTGTGGGAAATTCTGGTAATTTGAACGGATCACACTACGGACCTCTAATAGATTTGCATGATACCGTCATAAGGTACAGTAAATCCTCATCCTCAGTCTTTAGTGAAATGCATGCTATTTGAATGCTAAAATTGAGAACATTTAAGAAATCCTGACACAATATTTTTCGATGTAGTGTCACAGAAATCCAATAAATAACCTAAATAAATAGTAATCCAAGTAAGCCCAAATGTATCTATCTTCCACAAGAGGTTAGCCCTGTTCTTTAAAACATGATGTTCAAATGTATACCCTCTGTACCATTTAGAATCAACGGAGGCCCAACCAAAGGCTATGAGAGAGATGTAGGAAACAAAACCACACATCGGGCGATGTTTCCAGTGAGTGCTACTAATCTGGACAACAGCACTCATCTTGTGCTGTTCCCATTCAAGATAAAGGATTTAGAGTGGCTCATCGATGCTTTCGCTGCAAGGTATAGGTGTGTTATATAATTTGTTTGAAAATGATGTGTATTGCATAGTGTGGGGGAAAGCAAATTCTGTGTCAGCTATTTTTTATTTAGTCTTAGTCTTAGTCCTGTGTCAAATGTCCTTGTTAGTTTTAGTCATATTTAGTCACCTTCATCCTGTTTTTATTTAGTCAAGTTTTAGTCGACTAAAAGTCTGAGCATTTTAGTCTTATTTTAGTCAAAGAAAACTAACTATTTTAGTCTCAAATATCACCTTGTTTCTTTCTCCCAAGCCCTGTTGTTGCCATTTTCCTTTCTGTTAAATAAGATTTGTTAGATCCGATTCTTCGTGATTGTTCATAGTGTGCCGCTGGCCCGGTGTAATTCAAATGTACCGCCGCGCGCAGCACAGACACACAGCTGCTGCCCAGCCGCAGCACCGGAAATGGAACTGCTGGGAAAAAACTGACTATCAGACATGTAACGTTATCTTTGATAATATTTTTCGTCAACGAAAGTAAAGAGAGATTTTGGCAAAGTTTTTATTTAGTAAACTACATTTTCATCTCGTCATTTTTCATTAACGATATTGCATGTTGATATCGTAACAGTTATTGTTTACCCTTCCCGCGTCCATGCCTAGCTTGAATCATAAGTTTGGATAGCTAAGACTTTTTTCATCCAAAATTGGGAGATAAATATTAAAGTCAGAGCATCATGTTAACAGGCATTACACACGTGTTAAAAGTGTAATAAAATACAATTAAATCAAAGAAAAAGTCTGGGAATATTGCCTTGATATTAAAATGATGGCTTGTTTGTAAAACATAGGGACCTACAGGGAGGAAACATTTTCTTTGGGTTGAAAATGTGCCAAAGCTGGTAACTTAGCATGGCATTTAGGCTACCAGATGTTTGCTATTCCCAGACAGTGTATTGAAAAAAGCTTTTATTATAGCCCCATTTTATTACTCTTATATTGTGATTGTTGTCAAGTATATGCTTCAGTTTTGTTTAACTGCCAATCACGGGAGTATTGTGTATAGAAAGTGTTGAGCAATATCTCTCATGTTTGTTGGTGAGCATCACATTGAGAGAGTTTAAAATATTAGCCAATTTGAAGGAGAGAGAACAACAGACTGACACTTCTTTTATCCTCCAACAGAAAAGATACAAATGAACAAAAAGGCTTGAAAGCTAACAAAGATTTGGTGAGTATTATCTATTATACAGTTCATGGGAATGAGCTAGTTAATAAATGTCAGATAACATCTAAATGTAATCGTGAACAGGTGATGATCCTCAGTCCAGCTTTCATGAAATACGTTCATTTGAATTGGCTCAAGAAGAAGGGCCAATATCCATCCACTGGGATTATGACTGTGATTTTCAGCATCTTCATGTGCGATAAGGTATGTTCATTGCGATTAATTGAAAATCAATATTATAATTGATATGGATCATTTAAGAGGTATTGGTAGAAAGAATGGCCTATCAACACATGTTCAAACTGGATTAAAATGGTTCAACATAGCTAATCTTTTTGTTCAACTACCTTGTCTTTTTGTCTGTTTGCATCAAATGTAAAGTGTACGTTTTCTAGGTTCTCATTGTCACGTGTCAAAGCAAATCTATGGAATGGTATTATATTATAATATGTTAAAAAGTCAAATGGGTAATTGCTAATTATGTCATAAAATCCATGATAACAATCATATCCAATTTAAACCCATTTAACATTCAGTGTATTCCGGTTGTTTTCACAGGTCAGTGTGTTCGGGTTTGGAGCAGATAAAGATGGAATATGGAACCATTACTTTGAAGAAGTACTTAATTTGAGTCTAAAGAGAAAAACTGGCAATCATCCTGGATCGGTGGAGGCTGAAATTATTAATGAACTATTTAAGCGAAAGAAAATTTATTTATACAGAGGATGGTGAATGTTGACATACAGTAAGGATCACCTACGACTTTATTTATAAATTACGGTCATTTTACCAGAAAAAAGGGCAGTTTGGTGTGGTAGTAGAAATGAAGTAGTTTTTCTATTTCACACATGTTTATTGTTATCGCATTTGCATGTAGGTTTGGAAACTTGTCTTAGAATCAAGTCTATTGTCCTTCAGTACAAGTGTTTCCTGTTTTGTATTTACTGTAAAGGTCCCATATCATGCTATTTTTAGGCAATAGCATAGGTCTCAGATATATAGAAATATATAAAAAAACATGTCTATGAAGTGTTTTGCTCAAAATACCAAACAGATCACCCGTTCTAGCCATGCCTCATATCCCTCTATTTCACTTCCTGTCCTGAAAACTCATCTCTTTCGACTCCACTTCGAGCGATAGAATTACTAACAAAGAATTCCTAACAAAGCACTTATATACTAACAAAGGACTGGCTTATCTAAAGCCAGTTGAGTAGCACTTGAAATGTTTTGACTCTATGAAACCTGATGTACTTATATGATTCTGTTTTCTTCAAGTTTGTATCTTGTTGGTCGAATGCACTTATTGTAAGTCGCTTTGGATAAAAGCGTCAGCTAAATGCAATGTAATGTAAAAAAAAAGATTGATAAAAAATAAAAAAGGAGGGGTCTGAGCTCATGCGGGACCCGGCAGCTACTGTCTAAACTAAATACTGCCGTGATGAAACGCCATATCATGGATTATCAAGGATTATTTCTGAAACAGTATGGAGCTCAAAGGCTTTCTCTCTTGCCGGTTATACCACACTTTAGTCTAAGTTATCTCAGTGGGTCTCAAACGGTTTGATCACAATTTATGTAGGCTAAACAAATATTTCCAAGGCACTCCTTTATAATTATTAGGATAAATAAAAACAGGTTTGAAATCATTCCAATGCATACTATAGGACAGCAAACCAAAAATATCGTTTAAAACTGGAGAGATTAAAAAATATGCCTAAATAAATAAATAAGATATGAATGAACCACAAAAATAAAATAAGTTAGCCTACATTTATTTGTTATTGGCTATGGTAGGTTATTGGAAATGTTCACATACTTATTTGATTAATAAAATGTAAACCCCCCCATTTGAAACATGTTCCCACGGCTATGCTCTGATGTGTCATGTCCTTCATCATAAATATATTCTGGTTCTTATATCATTTGTACCCAATGCTGTAGAGATAGGTTTGGGATAGGCAACACCATCCCAATCGGAATTCCTTCTTTCCATGTTGGTTCATTTTTGTTTGGCCTGTCTTTGTCTGTCATTATGATATGTTATGTATTGTAATTTTTCTGTAGTTTATGCTCTTAATGTCTTTGTAACACACTTTGAATTGCCTTGTGTTGAAAGGTGCTATATAAATAAACTTGCCTTGCCTTTATGTGTGAAACTGTGATTGTTAACTTCTGTACAATTAAAAATAAACTATTTGTAATGCCTCTCTGCTCACTAAATCCCCATTGCTATAAGATTATTTGATTTTTAAAGAATAGTAAACACTTTACAATCATAAGTTGAATTTAACTCACTTGTGCAAATAATAATTCAAAAGAGTATTTGCAGAAGTAGGAATAGTGTACACAACTGACCGACCTTTACTGTCACAACACAGTGTGCTCAGATCTATCCACTTCCCATTGGCAGGCTGCCAAAACACACCCATTGTTTTGGGTGTCTTTATATGGGATGACATGTTTCATGTTTGCACAGTTCATTTCCTTCTTCAGCAGCCACAGGGAGAGAAACTGGACTCCTGTATTTGAATGGAATGTCTGTTAAGGTAAGAGTGACAAATATTTGGACATATGTTAACTGTTGGTGTGTTTGTCTTTCATATGTTTTCTTGTCATTAATCTTTGTCCTTTATGATGTTGTAAATGGAGCTGCTATGATAAAAGATAACCTTTAGACTTGATCTTACAATAAAGTATCATGGGGTATAGTATAGTTGTTTTGAGAATGGTTAACTTGACTTAAGACATTTACCAACCTTAAAAATGTTTAGTTGTTTTGCATTTCATTGTATTCATTCGCTTTTAAAGTCAGGCCAAACTATATTCTTTCAACACGCCCTACATCCATTTTTACTTTAAAGATATGTCACCAGAGAGGTCTGTGTCCGATGATATGAATTGTTTTCAGAACCCAAACCTGCTTGGTACACAGTGTGATCAAGTCACAGGAGATATATATTTTAACAGCACAGTAACACAATAGAGAAAACAGAACTTATATCAAACAGAAGTACCTTCTATTAAATATTACACAAATACAATACTTAAAGTATTGTATTTGTGTCGGACTCTCTGAATGTTTAGATAGTTAACTTTAGTCTAAGTTATCTCAGTGGGTCTCAAACGGTTTGGTCACCCATTTAGGCCTATGTAAACAATTATTTCCGAGGCATACCTTCATATGATCATTATAGTTAAAAAACAATAAAAGAATAAATGAAAAACAGTTATGAAATACTATATGACAGTAAAACAAGAATACAGTTTAAAAGGGGAGTGATTTGTAAATAGCCATAAAGAAAAAGAAAATCTGTTTACAGTTGTGTTTCATATGGGTGTTGAGAGATGTATCCATAGATCTCTTAATGTTGCTCTCAAAGTGCACCAGATTGATGCATTTAATTTCAATATTAAAAAAAAACATCTTCCCGGGGGAGCATGCCCCCAGACCCCCCTAGGAGGATATTAGGTCCACCCCCCACTTGTAAAACTGCACTTTACCCCTGCTTACGTGAGCTGATTATCGAGCCCTCATTGTAACAGTCGCGTGTAATGTGTATGTGCGTGTGAGGAGTGTTGCAGTAGTAAACTCCACTGTAGCGCCCGGTACATTAATGGGAAACCCTAAATGTTTGAGCACCCTCTATGAAACGTCAAGCTACCCCACAGCACCCCCAAAAGAAAATCTCTGGCGCCGCCACTACCTGTAAAACATGAACAACAGGCTGTCGCTGTCCAGGTTGCTAGGCGACGGACCGCGGGCGTCAGTGTCAGGTGACGCAAACAGGAAGTCCTCCGTTAACCAGAGCGTCTCATTTCGTACACCGCTCGGTTTGCTGTTCCTTCACTTAATTTTTATATTTATATACATTTATTTTGGACGAAAACTTAGCGTGAGGAAAGGCATGCGTGGCGTCAGTACGTGAGATATGGGTTAATTGCGTGACTCTCACGCTCAATGCGTGAGTGTTGGCAGCACCTCCAGTACTGAAACACATACAGAACGATGTGGTATCCAGCAGCCCAAATAAGTTGTTGACTGAATTTATTTCAAAAGCAACACCAGCCTTCAGGGGGTTCCTCTATAACAATTTGAGTGAACTATGTCTTTGTTTTGCTGTCAGGACCGTTTATTCACCTAGGTTCACCGTTGTATTTCTCACATATTGTATGCACAGATTGTATGTGATCCTCACTTAAGAACCTCCAGTTGCCAAGATGAAGAGAACAATCTTGTTTTGGATGTTCCTATTGTTGATCACTGCCATTGGAGTGTTTCATTCATCTTCATGGATTTCATCTGTGTACCATGAGTCCTTTTCCCCTCGAGAGAACCAAAGTCTTTGTGCATGTCGCAAATGTATGATGGAGTATGAGCCATGGCTTACTGAGTTGATGAAAGCCTCTCCAGATCCCATTCTGACACCAGAAAACAATATCTCAGCGGATGACTTTAAATGGTATCAGGTAAATATCAACTTTTACAATCTTTAAAGACACGTATAAGTAATATGACTTCTGTGTTTCCCAAAATAATATTACTAAAATAATCACTGACTGCGTATTTACATTTTTCCTCCAAATCAGCATCTTGCAATACAATTTCAGCTTTATGTGAAAGAGAATTAGGGCAACATGGAAAAACTATTTTTGAGATCTGATCAAAAGTTAATTTTTCTTTTAGTTCTGAGAAAAGTCAGAATTCCAAAAAATAATTCACATATGGCCCTTGTTCTTTTTTTTTGCTGTAACGGGCCGTCTCCACAGCAGCGTTAAAAAAATCTTGGAGGTGGGCGTATCTGAAGCTTGAGGATTTTTTGCGAGCAACCAATCACATGTATCTCCCGCCCGCGACATACGAAGCAAAAAAGCCCGAAGTAAACTGGATATAAACTCCCCAAAACAGGCGAAAACCTACCACTGTCTCTGCCACCTCCCTCCATGCCTGGCTCCTCCGGTTTATATCCCGGTAGGTAAATAGGGACTGGTCATAAAGCACCGGGTGATTCCCTACCGCTAATTTCTCCCCCATTTTTTGGAATATGAGGAAATGACCTGCGGTATTTCTCTCCCAGCATACACGCCGTTTGATTGGCTAGAGCTTGAACTGTCAGATTTGCGTACACGGGATTTGATTGGCTGACGCTTCCACCTCAGCCTCAAAAGTTGAACATTGTTCAACTTTGAATCCTCAAAATCCTGAAAATCTCCGCTCGCCTGCCCACAAAGCATTTCGGCGAAAAGTGAGGGAAAGTGACGTCACCCCATTCAAAGTGAATGGGCAGAAGCGTTTCAAGATTTTTTAACGCTGCTGTGGAGACGGCCCGTAAGTGTCAAGAGCATTAATAACCTTTTGCAGAGTGATGTTGAAGGTAATGATAAAACGACTACTTATCCTTAATTTATGATCTAAGAATAAAAATTGTTTATTGTCTCAATCATTTGATTTATAACCTATTATGCAAAATGCACTTTTTGATGTCTGTTATACATAAATATGTGTCCCCGGTGTGTCAGGGAACTCACAAAGTGTCAGAATATAAAACCCTCTCTCTTTTCCTCCGTACCCAAATCTCTAAAACGGGGGAACAATGGAGCTGATCCAGATTTGCTGCGTCATGACGACATTACTCAAATGTGGGCTGGCTTTACTCCCACGGCCCTATCAGAAACAATGCGACGTGTTTTGGACGTAATATGGTCTTTGTTTACATTAGCAAGTATCGCTAACACTCAGAGCTAACCTGTACTGAAGAGAGTATCACTGCTCGCATGCACATCATTGTTAACGTTAAAGACAATCTGTTCTTGTTATGTGTTTCAGAGAATACAGACAGACAGACGCGGCTTCGGTGTCTACAATAAAACAGTGAATAAAGTGTTTGAAATCTTCACACGCAGAAATTATTCACCAAAACACAGCCCTAATCGCTGCAGGACTTGTGCTGTGGTGGGAAATTCTGGTAATTTGAAGGGATCACACTACGGACCTCTAATAGATTTCCATGATATCGTCATAAGGTAATAAATCATCAGCTTCAGTGT